AGAGGGTGTCTCAGACCCATATGGAGTACCCACAGACCTCACCAGGGCACTGCAACAGAGATAGGTGCCAACTGGCAGCTTTGTTTCCTACAGCCCAGTCCTGGGTCACAGATCCGGGGCAGAGTGAGAAGGGGCCCTCTCACAGCAGTAGCTTTCCTGAGGAGGGAGGCCCTGGGTAGTGTATGGAGAAGCAGTGGTATGGCTCAGACTTAAGGCCCAAAGCAGGGTCTCACTTCCGACATCTAGTCCGGCCTGCAGAGGAATAGCCAGGGCAGGAATCCCAGACCAAAGGGATCCTACAGTTCTACTGCTCTGAGCCAACAGAGCTTTCCAGCTAGATGAGAGGGGCAAAGGCCAGCAGAAGCCCCTTCTTGCTTAGACCCAAACCCAGGTCAGGAATTTGCAGAGCTCAGACAAGGAGAGCAGCAGTCAGATTTTTCCCTGGATCAGACTGCTTTGGAAGCACTGAAAGCTTGCAGGCCCCCAACTTATCCCTGAGATCCTGGAATAATACAACACTCATTGCCCCAAGAAAGCAGCAGTAAGATCAGTACAGACCTTCCCTCCAGAAGTGCTGCAGAGCCGAGCCCTAGCATCAAGTCTGGAGTCAGGTAGTAGGCTGACAGACGGGTCAGACAGAAAAGAGGCCCACCATAACAAGCTGTTGTGATGGCAGGGACTCTGAAGACACAAACACAGAAGAGAATGACTCCAAAACATCTGCAAGTGATACCTCAGAGAAAAACACAGCTTGGGCATGAACTCAACCGGAACTCTTAGAAGAAAAAAAACAAGAATTTTGTTGGGTGTTTTTTTTTAATGTTTTTGTAAATAGAATGAGAGCACTTGAAGAAAAAATGGAAAAGAAATGAAAAATTGGAAAGGGTATTAGCAGCTTGGCATAAGAGATACAAAACCTTACCCAAGCAACAAGCTCCCTGAAAATTCAAATGACCAAATAAAAGCCAGTAACTCCCTGAGGCAACAAGAAATATTAAAAATAAAATGAAAAAATAGAGGAAAAATGTGAGGTATCTCATAGTAAAAACAAGTGACTTGGAAAACAGGTTGAAGAGGAAAAAAAATTAAGAATCATTAGACTATCTGAATACCATCAGCAAAAAAACAGCCTAGACATCCTATTTCAAAAAATCTTGATACTGTCCAGATCACTTAGAACTAGATGGTAAAATGAAAACAGAATCCATTGGTCGTCTCCTGAAAGAAACCCAAAATCCATAGCTTCCAGATCAAATTAAAAATATTGCAAGCAGCAAGAAATAAAATTCAAATCCTGAGGAGCTACAGTCAAGATCACACAGAATTTAGCAGCCACCACTATACAGGAGCAGAGAACTTGGAATGCAGTATTCCAGAGCACAAAGGATCCAGGTTTGCAGCTAAGAAAAAGTTATCTAGCAAAACTGAATATAATCCCACTGGGGGCGTGGAGATAGTATCAGAAATAAGTGTCCCATGTGTTTGACAAAGTGAGTTGAAATTCTACTCCATCTCTTTAAGAGCATGTTTCCTTTCAGTAGGCTTTACAGAAAAATCAATATCATGGTTTTGCAGATCTTAGTAAGTGTTATAACTTTAATCTTCTAGCTCACCATCTTACGCTTAATTCCTAAAATTAAATCAATTGGAAGGAATAGCTTCAGCCTTTTAAAACCTGCCTTTTGCCAAAATTTTATTTTGCCAATTCTGGCGTTCTTGCTTAACTTAAAAGGTAAAAAGTGGGGGAAGGGGGTGCAGAGAAGGGAAGTAATATGATGATTTTGATAAGTTGATAGCCCTTCCTTCTCAGACTTCCTAAGACTGAAATTTTATTTCTCTCACTGCTTCCTATGTACGTGGATAAATGCAGTCTGCTTTTTATTTAAAAGTGTAACTTTCCTGAATGCAATTTGAAGAATGCTATCCTTCAATTGTACGTGCGTGCGTGCGTGCGTGTGTGTGTGTTTCTTTTGGTCTGTTTCTTTACTAACATGACTAATATGGAAATCTCTTTTATATGATTACATACTACATATACACACACACACACACACACACACACACACACGAGCGCACACACAAGGAGATAGATAGATATATAACCTAAATCAAATCGCTTATTGTCTTAGAGAAAAGTGTTGAGGGAGGGAGAGAGAAAATTTGGAGCTAAAAAAATTTTTTTAGTGTTTAAAATTGCCTTTACATATAATTGGGAAAGAATAAAATATTTTTTAAAAGTGACCTTCCCAATGAATAATAATTAACTAGAAAAACAAAGCTAAGTATTTTGTTATTGGAAGCTAGATTTGAAAGGAGGTCTCCTTTTGACTAAAAAATGAATAAATACAACTAGTTTTAGTGATTAAGTAGAATGATGCCTAAGAATTAATCTTATCATTGACAGGTGCTCAAAACTAAACCCTTCCCTCAACCCAGACTTTTTTAATATGAACAGTTCTCCGTTCATTGAAAAAGCTGCATAATTCGTTGTGAATTTGTCTGTTGATACAAAATACACCTACAGAGATTCTAAGCTTGCCTTTTAATTTCAGCTTCAGTGATGTCAATATATTTTCTTCAACTAAGAGCAAGGAAGATTTTTTTTTTATTTCATTAATGTGATTGTCAGAGTGCTGAGGTGCTGGGATTCATTTCACAGCTTTCAAAAAGAAAATTGTGTCATCTTAATCTTTATCTGTTGTCGTCATTGCCTTTGATTCTTCATATATTTATTCCTAGGTAACACATTCAGAATTTATTTAATTGTGGCCCATCTTATTGGTTTGTAGCCATCATTTGCATTAAGCCAAATTTAAAGCATTCTCCATATGATACTGTCAAAGCCACCTAAGCAGTAAAATAGACCAGAAAGACCCGTGGATTTGGGATCAGAAGAATCAGGCTCAAGGCCTGGCACTCTCTGCAAAATATCAGCTGTGTGACCTAGAACACTTCACTTAATCTCTCTAATTTTGCATTATTCGAAAAGAATGGGGATGATAATACCCTCTTTAGTTTCTTTATTATAATAAGTTGTTATGCCATGAGAATGGTGCTCCCCCTATGCAGGGGAAGATGATACAGATGTGTCTTTCCCGTAACCACATCTATAGCACGCTGGTCAGTTTTGTACATAGGTATTTAAGTACCAGGTTAATCAGATTAGAGTAACTTAATCTACTCACCTCCAGATCACAGAAAGCTCATTTATATTCAGTAGCAAATCAAGGTAGCAAAAGTTTTTGGAATAAAAATTATATGAAGAGCATCCTGAATACAGGGTCTGGATTATTGATTGGGTGAAAGGATCACTATCCTGACTAGCAGTCATTTAGAATTTTCTTTGGTTATCAAATTCTGAAGTGTGATTGAACCTGAAAACGAGCTAAGGAAGGAGGCTTTCAGATGGTGAAGTTATGAGTCTAAATCATTTATGGCAAAAGTGTATGAAATTAGAAGTCAGGAGTGGGAAAGGGATGAGAGTGAAATAATTTCCTATGAATCTCTGAAAAAGGCCCAGCAGAAACTGAGAAAGTACTGAACAGAATTCTCAGCTAAGCAGAGGGTAAATACAGTTGTGTGCAAAACACACATTCATACTAAAGTGGGTCATATTTCGGATCTTGAGGAGCTACTGGGATGGAAGTTAACAATGTCCACAATGTGAGGAAGACTGGAGCAGGAGCCTGAAGTCATGAGTGCTGGAGGAGATGATTTCCCACCCCCTATGCATGTGTACCATCTCTTCCCCAATCAGCTTTCCTCTACTGCTTTCTATGTTTATCACTCCAGGGAGTTCCTTTCATCTCATCTTTGTGTCCTCAGTGCCCAGCACATACTGCTTTGTGCTAGGTAATTGGATTGGAACAGAGGAGATGCTGCCCCTTGAGATAGAGCTTAAAGCCTACAGTTCAGAACATGAAAAGGAATTGAGCAGATTAAATGGCATGTGGTGTCCATCAGAGTCAGACAGAAGTCAAAGTTCATCTTGCTTAAAGTAACCAATGCACTTGACCTTGGCAGGTAAACCTGTTTCCACACTGGGAATAAGGAAATCTGAGGACTCTTGACTTTCTTATAATTTGTTGTGGAACTTTGGCAAGAAGCTTTACTTTGATACGGTCACAGCAGTCATAGACTTGTAGAGCTGGACAGAATCTTGAGACTTTAGCATCCAGCCTTCAAAAAGAAAAGGGCATTATCAAAGAAGGGATGATTGAAGTTAGAAAAGGGAAATCGGCGTCATCATCGTCCCTGACATTTTGTAGAGCTCTGTATGGCCAGTTGGTTTCAGAAGCAGAATGGAAGCCTTGGCCCCTTAGCTCTGAGGCCAGCACTCTTTCCCCTGTACCATATAGACTTTCTTTTCAGTGTACTCCAACAAGGCATTGATGTAATATATATCAGATACGTTTTAAAAATGCAAAAATAAGGAATAATTTTAAAGTTCGTATTTTCGGTTATTTGGGATATGAAAAATCTGCTTACAGATGCGACACCTCATTCCTTGAAGGTAGTGGACAAATGGGGTGACACGGTTTGGGGATCGTTTACACATATATAACTATTGGGGTTGGTACTTGTTACTTTTTCCCAAGAATCATCTTCATTTCATTACTTTATACCTGGCCCAGGGGGAACACAAGGAAAAGTGTTTCCTAGGCTTGATGATTCATTCATACACCTATCTGTTATATTGGGTTTTATAGAAGAGAGCTAGTTGGGCATAATTAGAACTGTTCAAAAGTAAAATGAGATGTATCAGGAGGTGGTGAGACTAACTCCGGTCTCCAGTAGAGATTAGATGACCGCTTGTCAAAGATTTAGAGTGGTTTGGGTACAGGACACTGTGACCTCCATTCTCCCTTCCTTTTTACATAATACCTATTGCCTTGTTTCACATGGTTAATAAAAATTATCATGCTCCTGACAGTTTTTTCAAAGTTATAAGAACTTTGACCATTAAAATTTTCCTTTCTTACTATTAAATCTTCGTCTAGCTTTATGAAGCACAGGTCTATCCGATAAAGAAGGCTACATCGATTTGGAATTCTTATCAGCTGCCATTTTATTGGACATCTGCAAAGCGGCCCATACATTGAATTGAATGTGTAGCTGCGTGTTCTTTAGTACCAAACTCAGTCATCATCCTTCATCTCTTCCACAAGTAACTGTGGAAATGAAAACCACAACCAGGCAGCAGCCACCTGTGTTGGAACAGAGACCTCAGCTCAGTACAGGAAATGCAGTTTGGGAAGATAAGTGTTATTTTGGAATTCATCAGCCCGGGCTAACTGTGTGTGGGCAACAGAATTGAAACAAGCTAAACATCCATGCTTTCTGGCTATTAACAGTTCGCTTCCTGAGAGGAAAAAAAAGAAAATATAGATTGCTTTTCATTGGTGGCTACATCATTCAAAAAATGTTTTTTAATATAACTGTAACCTTTGCAAAAACATTGGTGTAAGATCTATGAATAAAAACCAAGTTGAATAGCATTTTTACTTTATGTAAGAAGTATGAGAGCTTAGGTTTCAACTTAAAGGTAAATTCATTCTCTGGGGTATATTAATTACCCTCTTCAAACTCAAATATATTCCTTATGCAAAGCCTCCCACAGATATGGCTAGATCCTTTCCAGACATCAGTCCATCATTTGGTTTGGAACATCCATACAGAAAAGGATGGTTGAAAGGTTGCAAGAAATGGCAGCAGTGGGGGAGGGACAGGAAGAATCAGAAACAGTAGGCTGCTCTGCCGTGTGATTCTACATCTCTTGGCTCAAGCTTGGGAAAAGGTAGGATGGAGAGTCATGGCTGGGGTAGAGGACCTCTAAATTTTTACCTTGAAACCACAATTTTTTTTCCTTGCACAAATGCCAGTGGTTTCCTAGTCCTTTAGCCTATCGGGGTCACACACATGACTTGCTTTTCTCTCCCACGAACCTGTAGGGCTTTCTTTCCCGAATTCAGTCTAGCTGTAAACACTCCCACACAGCTCTTTGGGGAAGAGTTGCTGGACCTGAGCCAGGTGATTGCTTCAGATCTTGTACTGCAGAGCAGCACAGTCTGTAGTGAGAAATCTCCCCAGTCTTTTGTGATATAAAGTTGATTGACTTAGGGGCAGATTTCTTTCTTAAAAATATAATAGAAGGCAGAAAAACAGAAGAAATAGATTCCAGAACTCAGAATTTGGAAGAGCCCTCACTCCCTATACTAAATACCCTGAATGTTCTCTCTACACATAATCACCATGCCCTTATGCAGTCGGAGGGTCACTCTCCAAAATTAAGTGGCATTTATCCAGCATCGTTATCCCTTAAGAACTGGCTTGACTCAGTAACAAAAAAAAAGAGAGACTTTTGTTTGTGATCCTATTAGAGCTTTATAAGTCTCCTTCATATCCTTTTCTGTTGCCTGCAGTTTCTACCTGAATAATTTACAGACTTAGTACCAAAGTAACCTAGTCACATACAGGAAGACTGAATTAACTGAATTAATACCACAGTATATTCCTCACCCTATGGACCACAGCCTTACAAGGGTATCAGTAATGTGTTGGGGAGCTCTGCGTAGCCAGTAGCTAGGAGGTGGTAGCATTGGCTCCTTCTCCTCATACCTGGTCTCAGTCCTATTACTGTAATATTCTCTTCTTAACTGCTGTGCCTAACCAGCCTTCCCCCAGTCTCCTTTATCACTGCATGCACATGAACTCTGCCTGGGGCTCTTTCTTTGAGTGCTTTGAGTTCCTAGGGTACTGCCTCCAGACATGACTTTTTTCCTCAACCCATCTTCTGCCTGTTTCCTCAGTGTTTATATTACCTGGTCAAGGTCATAGAATATTAGGGCTAGAAGTGACCTTAGAGATCATTTAGGCCCATCATTTTAACAAATGTTGAATGGGGAACCATGGACAGATTAACTGACTTGGGTCGAGCAGAGCTGCTCCCCATCAGCTAATAGATTTGAGAACAAACAGATAAGCCTTGCATAGAAATCAGTTTGTCATGTCCAGACATTGACTTCTGAACTCCTAGGAGATGTCCTCTAAAAGTGGCACTTTGTTATGCTTACATTATTTTATTAGCCTTCTAATATTTCTCCATACCTCCATTTTTTCCCCCTTTATGACCTATATTACACTGTGCTGACAGACCTATCTTCCCTACCCACAAATCAGGGTATGTCAGTCTTACTCAGAGCCTTTTAGCAGTTCCCCATTACTTAGCAAGTGAAATTCAAGCTTCTTAGCCTACAAGGTCTTCCCCAACATGGTGCTGCTCTCTCTTTCCTGTCTTGCTTCATTATTATTCCTCTCTACATACACTGTGCTCTGTGCACTTCTCCTTCCCTACACCTTATGCTTTTCCACCTCTGTACCTCACATTGTCTCCCAGTGCCTGAAATGCCCTCCCCTTCAACTTTTCTCACTTCCCTCCACCTGTCCTTTAAAGCCCAACTCTCCCCAGCCTTCCAGTTAGGTTACTTCCTATAACACTTTTTACCTTTCTTACACACTCATTGTGTTTTGTTTTATATTAGGGACTTGGTTTATCTGAACTTTGTACCTCACCCAGCATCTAACAGTGCTCAGCACTTAGTAGGTGCTTAATAAAGGTTGAGTCAGTGTGAGAGAATTTATAAATGGTTCATTGCAACCTCCAAATCTCCATTAAAGGGGAAAGAATTCAAAGTTCATGCTATACTGACTTGCTGTCATTGCTCTTGTCTTCATGTGAAAGAAACATGGGCTGCTTATATCCTTATACCTAGCCAACAAAGCAGAAGGGGGAGGGAGAAGAGATAACAGAAAAACAACCCCTCCCCCCAGAATATCAGATGTATAAGGGGCTTAGTGTGTGTGTGTGTGTGTGTGTGTGTGTGTGTGTGTGTGTGTGTGTGTTTGCCTATTTCTCACCAGCTAATATCTCACACCAGCTTTGTGTTTTCTATAACAAGTTTGTGTCTCAGAACTATATTTGCTGCTATTAAGCAAAGAAGCCTTGGGCTGGAAGTGAAGCCCCATGCTGGGAGGTCTTTTCAGTTTACCTTCTTTCAGTCCCCCTTTTTTTTTGACCTTCAGCTTCTAAGAGGCAAACCACTATTTTACAGGTACTTTTCATGGATTTAGTTAACTCACTGAAACTGACCCAATAAATCACTATATTGGTCATTTTATACCTAGACTGCAAATAATTTGTGCCTAACTCATAGTTTTTGTGTTTATGATTCCTTTTCCATTAGTTCTTGATGTGTACGCCTTTTAAAAAATGTAATTTGTTGAAGTAATAGGCAGTTGACATGTTTGTCATCGGAGCAGTTGAGAAGCATGCATGTGTGCACGTTCAGAAAGGTCCCTTGTTGACCCTCCAGCAGATGTTTGGGGAGGGCGTTGCGGGGTCACTGGGAGACCACAGCCCCAGTGCTCATTTGATCCCCTGCTGCCACCTGCTGGGCTTGGACTGGGAGTGCTTTACAGGACCAAGAGCCTTTTAAACCACCAGTTTTGTTTTGCTTTCAAAAAACAGTTAGCCTTTGATGGGGATGCTGCAAATTATGGGAAGGACAAGTTAAAAGCGTTCCCCATTAAATGTGGAGTCTCATACCTTGATTGTGTATCTCAGTGAGCTAAGCAATGACTCGGGGAACTCAGAATCCTAGGGCTTCAGAGATAGAAGAGGCTGTCTGTGAAGATCCCTCAGCCCAGAGAGTCAGAACTTTTTCCTTCTCAGCCCCTTCTCAGAATAATGTTTTTAAATGCATAAGACACAATGCAAAGAATTACAAAGGAAACCAGTTTTTTTATCCAAGTTTGCAGGTCCCAGGTTATAAAATCTTGATCTAGACCAAAGGCTTTGCTTTAACCAAGACGGAACTGAGCTTCCACAAAACCAGCTGACTCATCCATCACACAATTAGTGCAAAGCCAGTTATAAAATTTCTGTGATTTTTCTCAAAAGCTCAGTCTTCTCCTATCAGAATAAGGTCAGTTTTCTAAAAGAATTTTTCTATCTCTCATCTCTATCTCACCCCCCAAAAAATTAACATTTAGAAAGCAGCAGGGGAGGTTTGTTGATGTTCCTGGTATTTTCCCTTGATGTCCCAAAAGTCAGAAAAAGACAGCACTCAAGGGCCCCAGAAGCCAGAGCTCCTCTTTCTAACTGGTCAGTGGAATTTTGGAGTAATAACTAGAAATTATGACTGATTTTCCCCTAAAGGGGAAGTGATTAAATTAACATTGGTCAACTTATAACATGCGGCTCCTTTCCTAGTCTGTTGGCAGGGATGCAATTATTTACACACTGGAGCAGCATAATATTGAGTTGTGCACTATAGTAGAATAATCCCAGGGCTTTGGGTCCTTTTTTTCTCCTTTTAGGTAACCTCATTTACTTTTCTGTTGGTGAGGAAGAATTTGTACAGCACTGCATGCCCCCTTGACACATTAACTCCTTCAGACCATGCAGAGCAGACTACAGTGTGTTTTGAAGCACTTTACTGTCACTACTGAATTTTCCCTGATGTCCTCGCAGTCTTGTCCAGTGTCTCTTCCATCACCCAGGGGTAATGGAGAACGTGATTAGCTAGCCACGCAGTCCCCTGTGCCTGGCAAGCTTAGAGGTCCAGATTTCCTGATTCTGGCATTTTTTCCTCCTCAGCACCTATAACCACTGTACTAACTGGTTACTCCATAGTAATGATCCTTTCTCACCCTCTCCTGGACCGTTGAGGCCAGTCTACAGCCTCCAGCATTGTAACTTCATGCAGAACTCCATGATTTACTCCCAGGGTTGGCAGAGATGAATTATTACTACTACTACTGTTATTAATGAGGTATCATAATAATAATAAACATTGAACACCAGTAATTTGCTAGGTATTCCTGTATTTTCATCTAGAAAAATCACCTCTGCTTTAAATTTGGTGGCATGCATAGATTTCCAGCCTCTTGTGAATTCAAATACATGGTAATTGTATGTGTGATATGACTAATAGTATAGTGTCAGAAGCCAACATAGCAGAATTCTTTAACTGTAGTCAAGAAATCCCACTGAGAGTGTGACATTTGTCAGGTCGTAATTTTTGTTTCACAGAAGTCTGCTTTGGCAAACAAATAATTGTGTTTTAAGCAAAGTATAGTGATTGCTTTTATAATCTAATCTGTTGTGGTTTCTTTTTTTCTTCTTCTTCTTCTTTAGATATACCTGAAGGAAATCTTGAGAGAAATAGGCATTTACAATGTTAAGGGGACCCACAAAAACACCTGGGAACTGAAGCCAGAGTACAGACATTACCAAGGAGAGGATAAGAGTGATTAGGAAGACCTGGTCTGTCTGCCCGCAAGGAGCCGGTGGGGGTAGGGCTTGTGACTGTCCTGAGCAAGCCCTACATTTATCCTCAAAACTTGGAACAGTCTCTTAAGAGAGTAGAGTGACGGGCATTTTTTAATTCCTCCAGCTTCACTTTTTTGTTTGTTTTTTGAATAAAGTTTCTAAAGTTTGGGGGAGGGAAGTTATTTATAAAAGAAATTCGTAATAAACCAATGCAAGGGATTGTTTTGCTTTAAAATTGGTTTTATTTTCAAGTATTGACTTTAAAATGTAAAATAAGGAAAGGTTTTCTAATACCATAGAAAGACTTGAATTAATAGCAAATGTCATGTTGAACAAAGCTTTGCTTTTACCTGCCCACAGTGGACAGTTGATTCAAAGTGACGGGCATAACCACGGGAAAGGGAGGCAGCCACAGTCTCCTGAATCAAAAAAGCAAGATTTCTCTATTCTAAAACATGCTGAAGAACAAAGTTATCTGTTAAAGTTTTTTAATGTGATCATGTTTTAGGTTTAAATTTATCAATAAAAGAGGTCATTTTAATTTGTACCAGAGTATTTCACATTACTGCCTTTTGGGTACTGGTCATTCTATTTTGAGTAGTAGAAAAATGAAGAACTGCTTATCTATTGTTTCTCTTTAACTCAATAGAAATAAAATCAGAATACTTTACCAAAACTGAAGCATGTTTTAAAAAAGCATATGGTATAAAGTTCTCACAGGTAGCTCAGTGGATAGAGCTCTGGGCCTGGAATCAGGAAGATCTGAGTTTAAATCCAGCCTCAGATACTAGCTTTGTGACCCTGGGCAGGTCACGTCACAACTGTTTGCCTTAATCCACTGGAGGAGGAAATGGCAAACCCCACTCTAGTATCTTTTTCAAGAAAAACCCATGGATAGTAGCAGCATGCTATGGTTAAATAGGGTCACAAAGAGTTGGACTGAATGACTGAACAAAAAGTCATTTAAAAGGTTTGTTGACTCGTGTCTCATAAAAAGAGGACTATGGTGAGGAAGAAGGCAGGAAATGTAAAAGATGGGGGAGAATTTGTAAAATCCCATCATTACGGAATGCTGTAGAGCTGTAGTAACTCCATTTTTTTAAAAAAATACTTTAAAAAAATGTAACCTGACGGTTTACCCTAAGAAAATACAATGCAGAACCTTTTGTGATAACAGAGGTCTGGAAATACAGTGGTTATCTTCAAGTAGGGAGTGGTTATGGCATATGACTAATGGAATATTCTTGTGCAGTAAGAAATGACATATGATGAATTCGAAGAAACATGGAAAATTTGTATGAATACATGCCAAGTGAGCTAGCAATATATGTAATGGCTACAGTAACATAAATGAAAAAATAATTCTTAAAGAGGCAAATTCTGAGTAATTGAAAAATCCAGTAATGATCTCCAAGCACCATAATGAAATATACCTCCCTTCTCTTACCAGAGAGATGGGACTCAAAGGGAAGATTTGATTGCAAGATCAGGGTGGGAGTTATATCCAAAAATAAGTATAATGTAAGAACAAAATGCATCAGTGGAATTTATTTTAAAAAAGAAAGGAAGGGGGCAGCTAGGTGGCGCAGTGGATAGAGCACCGGCCCCGAAGTCAGGAGGACCTGAGTTCAAATCTGGCCTCAGACCAAACACTTGACACTTACTGGCTGTGTGACCTTGGGCAAGTCACTTACCCCCAATTGCCTAAAAGCAAAAAAAAAAAAAGGAAAACACAATTAACACAGTGACTACAGTAATGTAAAAGAAAACACATTAAAAAACACCAAAACAAGGTCCTCAGAACAAGACAGCAGTGTTTTCCCCTTTTTTTCCTCCCATGGTGTCTACTCTTGAATGAAACAGAACCATCTCCACTTTCTCTCCTATCCCTGGTTGCCCAAGTCTCTATACATAAGCAAAGGGTTCAGAAAGTAGCATTTAGTGTAGGGTAGAAGTGTCAACCTCAAATAGAAATGGGATACAGAGGGATCCCTCCAGATCACATATTGTCATATGTTTATGACGTATGTTTATGCATTTCTTTTTTTATTAATACAGCAGCACATTAAAATTGGGTAAGAACTACTTTTTAATCTGGTTCAGGCCACACTCGAGTGCTGTGGGCCACATGTAGCCCAGGGGCTTCCATGTTTGATGCCCATGTTTAGTGCATGGAGTGTTGGAGTCAGGAAGACCTGGCTATGTGACAGTGGACAAATAGCTTAACCTCAGTTTCTTCATCTTTAAAATGAGGATGATAATCTATGTGCCTACCTCATCCTTAGAAACCTGTCCCAGGAGTGTTAGAACATTCAAATGAGATGCTTTGCAAGGTGTTTTGCAAACTTTAAAGCATTTAACAAATATAATTACAAACAAGATAACTTATAAATCTCCAAAAATAATTTGCTGAGCTTCAGAGCTACTCAGTAATCTTCACTCTCAAGAGAAACAGCCTTAAGGAATAATCTATTTTAGTATCAAAATGACTAGAAAAGGGACAACAGCCATATTTCCCTTCAACATTGGTTTTAATCTGTTCCATATGATAGTTACTAAATGTTCTGATTGCCTGGGAGTTGTGTACACTCTATAAGGTTTTGTATATACAAATATTACTCAGTTTCAAAAGACCTGTGATTTCACCAGTTCAGATATCACCGATTCCATTAGTCAAGCAAGCCCTCAATGCTTTAGACATTTTTATAACAACTTGTTATGACCGAAAATATCTCAGCACATAGTAACTCTAATGGAAGCATTTTCCTGACTTCCTGTGCCTGCTGACCTTCCAGTTGAATCAAGGTACACCAGTATATGAAGTGTGGAACAAAAGACTTGTGCCTCTTGTAGTTGTTTGTGATTGTCACTCCTGCTGCTCCTGCTGTTTTTTATGAACCCATTTGAGGTTTTCTTGGCGAAGATACTACAGTGGTTTGCCATTTCCTTCTCCAGCTCAGCTTACAGATGAAGCAGCTGAAACAAACAAGGTTAAGTGACTTGCTCAGCTCATACAGCTATCAAGTGTCTGAGATCGCGTTTGAACTCAGATCTTCCTGAATCCAGATACAGCGCTCTACCTACCGCACTCCTTAGTTGCACTAACAAAAGGCCTCAGTTTTAATCTGATTACTGGACTCATATGGCGGTTCTTAAAGTTTGCAGACTGACTTAGGAGAACTGTGTTTTCAAAAATTCAGGTGACAGACAATGACTTTCTTATGTTACCTGAGCCAAAAAGCCACTAATCAAAATCCCAGTGAGCTATGATTATATAGATAAGGCATGAGGCCCCTGCACTCTGGGAAATGCAGAGATAAAATGTTTCACGGATTTCAGCTCTCATTTCTATGTAGTGCATAATAAATTAGCAAAATTAGCCATGTAGTGAACCAGATTTTTCTCCTGCCCTTTCTTTTTCTCCTACCACCGTAGCATTCTCAGAGATTTCGTAGTGGAAACAATAGATAACACATTATCTCCCCCTGATTATTGCCCTGGAACCTCTAAGAAGGGAGAAAACTGATGAAGTATAACCAACGTGTACTAGGGATGGCTTAGTAGGTCCGTACTGCAAAGAGATCAAAGAAAGAGGAAAATAGCCCATATGTACAAAAATATTTATAACTGCTCTTTTTGTGGTGGCAAAGAATTAGAAACTGAGGGTATTCCCATCAGCTGGGGAATGGCTGAGCAAGTTATGGTATATGAATGTGTTGTAATACTATTCTACTGTAAGAAATGATAAAGGGGATAGTTTCAGAGAAACCAGGGAAGTCGTATGAACTGATGCAAAGTGAAGTGAACAGAACACAGTGACAGCAATATTGTAACAGTAATCAATTTGTGACAGATTTAGCTATTCTGATCAATTTAATGATCCATAACAAATCCAAAGGACTCATGATGAACCCAACTCCTGATATAGAGCTGATGGACTCTGAATGCAGGCTGAAGCATGATTTTTCTTTTTTTGATAAGGACCAATGTGGAAATTTTTGCTTGACCATAAATGTTTACACCAAAGGTTTTGTTTTTCTTGCTTTCTCAATGGGGGGGGGGGATTACAGAGAATTCATATCTAAAAGTAAATTTTAAGATAACATGGAAGGAATCAGTGTGTGTGCTAATAGATCATTTTTCTTGTAATTATTTTTTACAAAGCCTTATTAAACTTAAGAAAGACCTTTTTAATGGCAGAATATTTTTTTGAAACATAAACCTCACTAGGATACATAAGCTTTATTTATGAATTGTTCTCAGTTTCTCTGATGTATATGTAGTTATCCATTTAGAAGGCATTTGCTACTGGATAGTGAGAGAACTGAATCAACTTTCTAATCTCAGAAAATAAACCCGTGAGATACAATACAGAGGCTAACCCTCTGAAGAACCTCTCTGAACTTGAGATAAGCTAGTTCTCAGATGACAAATATACAGTCTGTTGCAGAAATTTTTAACCTGAGGTGCATGAACTTGTTTTTTGAGTTTGTTTGCTATTTTGATATTTTCAATGTAGTTGATTTTCTTTGAAATGATATTATTCTGTATATTTGAAAAATATTATTCTGAGAAAGGGTCCGTAGGCTCTACAAGGCTGCCAAAGGGATCCATGAATGTAAAAAAAGGTTAAGAACAACCTGGTCTATTACCAGGTCTGCACTAGAAGCTTTCTGGCTTGTTAAGACTACTAGACCCTATGCTTCACTGGCATACCCTTTCAAGAACTCAGGGTCACTTCCCCAGTAGATAAATGATCAAAGAATATGAAGAGACAGGCAATTCTCAAAAAGAAAAGAAAAGCAAGTTAACAACCAGGAGGGAAAAAAACTACAAATAATTAAGTATTTAATAAAA